GAATGTAGTAAAACGGTAACCTGGTTAGAGGTGGGGTTTCGTAACTTAGGTGGTAGGGTACCGGACTATTGGTGTGGAGGCTAGTGGTTCAAATCCTGACATCCCCAAGATTTTCACCTCCACTTATCATCGGGTCGACGCACTCCTAAACCTGGCTTAGCCAGTAGTAAAACCCAGTAAAGAGGGAAGGTTGGGTGTGAGGATAGCAAGTCCATCCCATTAAAACAACACCATCAGTGCTGAAATTCGAAATAATGAAATACAAAATTTAATCTTGAAACCCTATGTTCCACTGGGAGAGCATAGGAATGAAAAGAAAAAGGTCTCAGTAATAGCATATATGCTTAAGATAATCATATCACCAATAAACAACTACATGTTTACGAGCAAGATAGTTAATTGTCTATATGTTTCTCTACAATTCGAGGAGCACACGTCTAAATGTTACTCTCCAATGACATTGGTTGGTTGTTGCGCAATATACATCACGAATAGGCAGAAGTTGAAATTTATGGGCCATTGAGTCGGATCTCAGTGGCTGAATGGTCTACGAGCTTGCCTTGTAACCGGATAGTCTTGGGTTCAAACTCTAGTGGGTGCGAACTACTGAGGACTCCCAAACAAGGTCAAAACTGCTATCCAGTACTTTCTAGTTTACCAATGGTTCTCTGACTGATGTCAACTCGTGATTGACCATGTAACCAATAAAATCTGTGAAAACTAACATTTGATAAATGTAATTCAACTATAGACTAAGAATACAAACCATATATCACCCCGTAGCTGATTTCAAAACACAAATCACCATTGTATTATTTAGTGTAATTCTCTAATGTAGACTAGAATACATCACATTGCAACCATCCCTAGATGGTTAGTATGCATACAAAGCTAATACTGTTAACATAAGATTTAATTCCACGTTATAAGGATTATAAAAGTCAACATAATGAACAGACTGATTGAAATGAACTTATCGATTGTACCTGGGATTTAAAACCAAAGAAAATTCAAAGGTGGGATACTGGTGCTCCACAGCAAGTGTATAAGATACCACCAAACTAGCAATCAAGGGACTTACGGACTGCGACAAAAAATTTCTTTAGTAAACACATTTAGGTCGCTTAGCTTTTTAACATTTACTTATCCAAACTAACAACAACAGGTAAAAGGAAGTGCTTCAAAAACTTCCTATTCACTTCATCAAGTGTAGAAGTTTATTTGTATAAGAGCATTTCGTATTATTAAAATTGACAGAAAAAGTCACTAGCAAATAATGTTGAAGATTATGTGTTGTTGGACCGGCAATGAGATGAACCGCCATACTGCAGAAGCTAGACATCATGACCCACCGAATTCCTATACACAGGAGTTGAGCGGAAATCTGCTCGCTTCAAAAACTCACTATCCTCTAGCACATGACCCTGAAGGAGATTAGACTAAATTGATATAAGTGTTATTATTATTATTGTATCCTTTAATTCCTACAGGAACATAGGGCTTCAGCCGTGCGTCTCCTTTGCGTTCTGTTCTCTGCTAGAGTCTTCACCTGGCTCCAAGTCTGCCAACTCGTTTTCATCTCTTTCACACTGACGACCAACTCGCCGCTTCCCTTTCGGGTTCCACTCAAGGGCTTGTCTAGTGATGTTACTTGATGGTTTCCTAAGAGTATGGCCAAGCCAATCCATCTCCATTTCCTCCTGCCTATTTGTTTCACAATCGGTTCCTGGTTGGTTCGTTCCCAAAGATCCCTGTTGCTGATCTTTTCTGGCTGGCCATCTGATCTTGAGTATTGAGCGAAGACAACTGTTGGTGAAGGTTTGTAGTTTGTTTGAGATGCTCTTTATGACGCGCTGGCCAAGTCTCTGATCCGTATAGTAGCACTGACTTCACATTGGAGTTGAAAATCCGGATCTTATTTTTGATGCTGAGTGCTGTTGACCTCCACACAGACTTGAGAGTAGTGAAAGCTTGTCTTGCTTTTCCGATTCTTGCTTTGATATCCTCGTCAGTTCCGTCGGCCTGTAGTTGAAACGATGCTTCCCAAGTAGGTAGGTAAAAGAGGTTGTTTCTTTCAGGTTCCTCCCATTTATGCTGATTGTTGTCAGTTGTTGTTGTTGCTGTTGGTGGTGTTGCCCAGGAATTTTCATCACCTCTGTTTTATCTATGTTCACCTGAAGTCCTATCTTTGATGCTTCTTCTGCCAACTTGTTGCTTTTCACCTGCATATCTTCCAGTTTGTGGGAAATCAGACATATATCATCGGCGAAGTCCAGATCCTCCAAGTTTTTTGTGTGTGTCCATTTTATGCATGTTTCCTCATTGCCCACTGTTTGTCGCATTATCCAGTCTACTGCAATCAAGAAAATCATTGGCGATAGTAGGCAGCCTTGTCTTACTCCTGTCCTACTTTCGAAGGGTTCCGTAAGTTTCCCATTGTGGATTACTTGGCATGCAGCATTGTCGTTGGCATCAGTTAGAGAACCATTGGAAAATCACGGAGTGCTGGACAGATGAGGAGTCCCAAACCAAGACAAAACAGCAGTCTGGTACTCCCTGGCTTTCCAGTGGTTCTCTAACTGATGTCATCTCATGACCGAACCTGTAAAAAGATACAATTTATCTAGTGACTGGTAGTTTGAAATTATTCTTCTGGTTGATGTCAACCTTAGGTTCAATGAAATCCAGTCATAAGACATGCTTATTACACTTCAGTTTTGAATATTTATCTACAATGATGGCAAATTTAAGAAATAGTGATCTAAGCGAATGAGCGCACAAATTACACCGAAACAGCCTATCAAAGTTTGGGTACGTAATAATGCAGTTATATAACTGGGTATACCTACTTTATTACTAACAAGGAAGGTTGTTCAGAATTTACGGAATAGACTAAAGATGGATAGTGTGCCTTATACACCTAATCGTAACTTTAGTTTCTACTAAATCTTACTGATAATCATTTCGATGAATGCTGACACACGAGAAAGTGGGAGTTATTCTTGACATATTTTATAGAAGGGCATCATGTTTGACATGCCTACATTTCTATAAACATATTTGTCAAAAGTAATTTGTTTTTCGCCTAAATCAGTCCAGTTTATTCTGATTGGTTGATTCAAGGCCTTCCATGAACTGGTTCGCTTAAATCAAATCCACACAATTAGCAAGTTAATTCGCGATCTGTAATTTAAACAGTATGACGCAAAATTTCACTACAGAATCCTTTGGAAACTGAAATTCAGATTATGTAATATGTGTGATCTACTTGATACTATAAGTGCGTCGGTGGTATAGCAGTTAGGACGCTCGCCGAACATGCACATGGTCTGGGGTTCGATTCCCGGTCGATGCACTCCTTTACCTCGCTGAGCCAGAAATAATGCTGGTGAAGAGGAAAGGTTGGGCATGAGGCTAGCAACCCCATCCTGTAAAATAAACACTGCTACAGAAACTTCAGGCCTCTAGCTTGAAGCCCCATGTTCCACTGGGGAACGTGAAGGAAAAAAAAACTTCATACTATAAATGACAGTCAAGAAAGCAAGCATAAATGCACGACGCTATACACTATTGACTGATTGAGATGAGTAGTTATACACCACCCACATCAAACTGATTTAGCTCTTTGAGCTGACTCAAACCGGGCCCAAAAACGAGCGGAATACATGTCTGGTGTTTAGATCCCTCCGACGATCCGGCTAGAAAGTACTACTGTGATGAGAGCTGGTTGCTAGCCAAAGTTGGTAAACAGTAATTGACGTCAATGTTTATGTCCCAAATATTGGTGGTGAGAAAATGAGAACAAAGGCTTTGCGTAGGTGGATACAATGAGCATATGGATGATCTGACACAGCCACAAAGAGATGCAAGGTTAACTTTCCGTGAGAAACAACCAATCAAAAGAGTGCATTTTCTACTAACAATAATCTACAATAATGTACATTAAAATCTATAAATATGTGTTGATTTTCCTTAATAAAGGATCTGTTGCCTGGCCCTTGTCCTCTGTTGTTACACTACTAGTCGACGTAAGTGATGTCCAGCTGTTCGTGTCAATCAGTCAGTGGTGGTATAACGGGAGAAGACGAAAGACTTCGTACGGACTTTTGTATTAAGCAGAAACACACCATAGTTATACAATTTTAGCCACATTAAAGGTCGGTTAGGTCAATAGATAATAAACTGTTCCAACTGGTCATCAATTTTCTGAAGATTAAGCCTTAGGTCGAAAAGTTGTCCAACGAGATTATTTCCTGACCACAACGTAAACTAGACCCAGATTCGAGAAATAAACATTTCTACCTCTGTAGCCATTGACCTAAAATGTTGTTTTCAGTTTTAGCTGCTTCCTAGCCATCTGCGTCTGTATACCACTGATAAGTCTTGTCAGTAGCACATGCCACAGTAGTATATGGCGACATGCATCTATGCTCTTTCACTTGTTTCCCCATACTTCCTTGCCCGCCGTAATGATCCCTTAATCCACTGATGATTCCGTACTTCAAGGGAAAATAAGTTGTCCATAAAATAAATCATTTTTATTTAGCAATGCCAGAGACTGTAGGATTCGGATGATATGCGAACAGGCGCCAAGCTTAATTCTATCTCTCAGACACATATACAGACCTCCCCTACATCCCGTCATGTGATAAAAAAAACTGAGGTTATGAGAAATGATTATTTAAGTAGTAGTAGGTAAGTAAGGATTGTGAATAAAAATCTGATAGTTGGTAAATCAGTGCACAATCATAAATTATTACAATCACAACTTTCATTTATTTATATATTAGCAACATTATGGCATATAAATATTAAATGGTAATAATAATAATATTACTACTACTACTACTACTACTACTACTACTACTACTAATAATAATAATAATAATAATAATAATAATAATAATAATCAGAAATCCAGTATCCTGGAAAAAAGTATACATAAACATGTACCCATGTATACACATAAATAAATAATATGTAAAGTTGTTTTAATTTACCTGATAGGAATTTGTAAAACCTGGATGGTCAAGGTCATGTGATACCGCAGAGAATAACAAGATAAGCAAATCCACTGGAGATAAATACAATTGTAAATTTATTGTCTTTATGATACAATACATCTATGTGAGAGGAAAAAATAAAGATGACTTTTATTCTTCGGTTCAACCAAAGACAACAATAAATAAATAAACATCAGAAAATACAGTAACAATAATGGTCAGTAATTGAAACATTTAAGAAAATGCAACAATGCAAAAGGATATATAACCATAATAATCATGAATATGTTTATGCATATATAATGTGTGACCTTAAAGCAATCTGTGTTATTCTTTGGCACAAGACCGGTGTACAATCATTTATTAGGAGGGGGCGGAGTGGGCTAATAACAAAACTATTATGGGGTAAATTTAATTCCAATTGTTACATTTCTTCACGAACCGACATCATTTAGGGAGACCATTGAAAACCAGGGAGCACTGGACAGTGACTGAACGCCTGACGGGTTTGGCCTCGTGACCTGAAAGTCCCGAGTTCGATCCCTGGCAGGGTTTGGGGGTGCACACTGCTGGAGAGTTCCGTAGTAGGACGAAGCAGATGTTTAGTGCTCCCCCCTTGTTTTCAATGATCTCTCCAAATGATATTGGTTCGTAGTGAAATCTAACAATTGAAATTAAATTAATCCAACTCCCCTCGCCCACCCCACAAATTCCATAATCTGAATATTACGGGGTAATTTAATTGATGACAAAGCAGCAGCTACACAGTAATCAAAAGAAGGTCATATCAATGCTAAATCCGATTGAAAAACAATAAGGTGACAAGTGCTCTTGAATGGGAACGCTTCTCTCTGTGACTGAAATGTACACAGGAAAAAATCAAAGCGAAAACTAGTAGTGCAGTGTTGTAATGCAGAATGTCAAAATTCTCCATCGAAACATCAGACCGCAGGTTTGAAATTATTTTTTTTCTCATTCCTTCAACTTTAAGCTTTGAAGTCTCAGTCATATACGACCTTTCTTCTTTACCGGATTCACTACAGGGCTAAGCATGGTTTAGGAGGGTATCGGGCGGGAATCCAACCCGAACCACGTTAGTGGTCAGCGAGCATATCTACCATTGAACCACTAATGCAGAAATTATAAAATACAAGAAAATAAAGACGATACTATAAACAGTTTTTAGAAAACCTACATTCCGAATCGCATCAGTGGAACAATTTCACTATCCAGTACATGAAGCAATCAACATTCCCACTAACTAATAATAATACCTATACATCATAAAACTTCATTTATATGGTTTATTATTCACGTCGGTGGTTCAGGCGTACAATGCCTGCCAGCCACACACGTGGTCCGGGGTCTGATTCCCGGTTGATGTACTCCTGAACCTTACCTAGCCGGTAGTAACCCCGTATCAGAGGGAAAGTTGAGCTTGATGCTATTAACCTCATCCCGTGAAAGCATAAACGCTCCTGAAGCTCCAAACCTCAACGCTTGAAGTCCTGTATTCAACTCGGAACGCGAAAAAATTAAATAGAATAATAATACAAATGCCTAAGAGAAAAGCCAAACTGACTCATAATATGAGAGTTAATGTTAGCAAAAGGTATGATGAAAACTAACAGGTAAAAAAAGAATTAGATACACATCTCATTAAGTAGTTTATCTATTCGTAATTTGATATTATTTATCTTATGGTAACTAGCAGCAGAATTTACGATACATGTTTCGTTTCAATTCCAACTCATCAGCTTCACGTGACTACATCTCGATAACAGGTAGTGTGTCCCATCATTTTAAGATAAGAACTCACTTACTCAGAACAACTATTTCATGTATTAGGATATGAGACACATTTGCCGTGTGAGATTTAAAGAAACTACCCAGCTTCACAAGCTGAAGAAAGATGTAAACTTGAAACTGAGTTGCTCAATGCCAATTACTTAAACCGATAAAGTACATCTCCGCACTCCATGACAAAAACTGAATTCTCAATCTTTCAAATGCTTAAGTGTTAACCACCACGTTACACTGAACGACAATATGCGCAGACAAAAACAAAAAGGGTCAAAACAATTTATCAAAGGAAACCATAACTGTTGTGACAGGAACATATTGTGGTTTATTTAGGAATTTTCAAGTAAGAACTGGAAATATAGGTCAAAAGATTGTATGCAGACAAGACAAATATTCATTCATTAATAGCCAATATATGAAGGCTGATCTTACGCGGGATAGAAAAAAAAAGGCTTCGATAACATCGAAGATTATATACGCATAATTTTCATATAAAACATTTAAAAAGAATAGGTAACACTAAAAACTAGTTGTCTTAGTAGTTAATCTCATGTAAATGAAGCGCATACATGCCTAGTCTGCAGTCTATTAGCTCTTATAGCTACAGATGATTACGGAAACTGGATATCAACAAAGACCAGTTAGTATCGACTACGACCTCGCCTAGTTAACTAGCTTCCTAGTTTTATAGCTGGTCCGAAGCCCGGATAAAGAGCGGGGCTTGGACGTGGGGCTAGAAACCCCACACCAATAAACCTATCAAACCGCTAGAGAAACTTCAACACACAAAAAATATATTTAAAATACAAAAACTTCAAATAACAACAGTTTTATTCTTCGCTCGAATCGGAGAGGTGAAATGACACAGAGGGCTGGTGAAAGCCTTCGGGAAGCCAGTCAGCCAATGTGTCTTCTTTCGATGAAAGCAAGAATAAGAATGGGGACGTGGAACATACGTACAATGTACCAGGCTGGGAAGGCTGGCCGGGTAGCCAAAGAAATGCGCAGAATTGGCATAGAATTGCTGGGTATCTGCGAGAGCAGACGAAATGGAAGTGGGTTGTCAAAATTGTCAACTGGAGAGCCGGTAATCTACTCTGATCACCCAGACGACAACCACGAACACACTGGAGCAGTGACTATAATGATGTCACCAATGGCAGCCAAAGCCCTGATGCAGTGGGAACCAATGTCAACCGGGATCACAACAGCAAGATTCAACTCAAAAGGAAGGAAGGTCACAGTTTTCCAATGCTACGCACCTACAAACAACGCAGAACAAGAGAAGGAAGACTTTTACAGACAACTACAAACAGTAATGGACAACATACCAAATGGAGACATCAAAATCCTCGTGGGCGATATGAATGCCAGCTGAACTGGGAGCAGATAATACAGGAGGAGAACTCATCATGGGTCGAGAGGCTCTCACTTGGCGGGATGAATGAGAATGGAGAATTATTCGCAGACTTCTGCTATTTCAACGATTTGGTCATCGGAGGGAGTGTGTACAAACACAAGGATATGCACAAAGCAACGACGGACACACTAAGAACCAGAGAGATTTCATCTCAATGTTGCTCAAGGAAGTGGAGACGCAGCTTGCTGGACACAAAGTAGAGAAGGGGAGCAGATGTGTGTTCAAACCATTATAAATTTCTAGGGACCTTCAAGGTGAAGCTGAAATCCCTCAAAACAACCGGAGACAGATCACAATTCAAGTTCAACATTCAGAAACTGAAGGATAAAACTACAAAGGATGCCTTCGCTACAGATATCAGAGCAAAGTCGGACACACTACGTGGCATTACTGAGGAAACCTGTGTGGAAAAACATTGGAACTCTCTAAAAGCGATATTTAAGGAAACGTGTACAACTGTTCTAGGGAAAAGGAAGAGACAAGACAAGGAATGACTATCAACAGATACCTGGAAGCTAATCGAGGAGAGGATGCTGAAAGAGATGACTCGGTGCAAAGATGGACAACAGAAGAAGAAACTGACCTCAATGTACACTGCACTGAATAAAGGAGTGCTAGGAAAGACAAAACACAATTCTACGACACACTGGCAACTGAAGCAGAACAGGCTGGTCGCAGGTAAAAGAGACCTCAGGATATTATATCAGATAACCAGCTCGCTCGCTATCTGGGAAGAGATCTACGGAAAACTCAGCGGGGCGTTCGAAGTACATACAGGAGTAACACGAGGCTGCTCACTGATATCACCGATGATATTCCTAATTGTGGTGGATTGGACTATGTATCAGACTGTGGGGAGCGAGGAGACAGGAGTACGCTGGACCACCGATAAAAAGGCTATAGAAGATCTGAATTTTGCGCGTGGATGATTTATGTTGAATGTTACACAAACTCGAGAACTTTCACGTGAAAGCCAACAAACTGGCTGAAGGGGCAGCGAAGACAGGACTCCAAGTGAACACAGAGAAGACGGAGGTGCTGAAGATAACCAACCAACAACAACAACCAGCACCAATCACCATCAACGGTAAAGATTACACAGAGGCTGCCTCCTCCCTTCACTTATCTAGGAAGCATCGTTTCAACTACAGGCAGCCAGAACGGATGAAGATGTCAAAGCCAGCCAGAATCAGAAAGGTAAGACATGACTTCGTCAATCAGAAACCAATCTTCTGCACTCAACATAAGGAATAAGATCCGGATTTTCAACACCAGTATCAAGTCGGTCAGTTCTTCTATACAGGTCAGAAACTTGTACTGCGTGCCAGTCACGAAAAGGATTTCCAACAGCTAGTTGCAGACTTTCATCAGCAGTTGCCCACTTCGCTGGCTCCATCCTGAAGATCAAATGGCCAGCCGGCCAGAAAGAATTAGTAACAAGAAACTCTGGCTAGCTGGGAACAAACCAACCAGGAGCCGATCGCTCAACAAATGCTTAGGAGAAAATGGAGATGGATCGGGGATACATTGAAGAAGGAGGCGGTCGAATAACATCACGCGTAATGCAGGCCATCGCTCGAGTGGAATTCCAATGGGAAGCGACGAGTGGGTTGTCAGTGAGAGAGTGACATGGAGGATATCGTGTGAGGAGGAGATGAGAGAGTTTGGTCAATCGTAGACTGAGCTGAAGAGGATGGCAGACAATAGAACAAAGTGCAGATGTATTGTTGAAACTCTATGTTCTACCCGGAACTCAAGGGAACAATACTAATAATAAATATCGTTAACTAAAATTTGAACTCAGTAAGGGCAAAAGTCTTTTTCATCATTGCATAAATAACTGTGAACAGGGTCCTACTACCGTTGTGTGAGGCAATAATGAAGCATTTATTTCCAA